GAGGACACGTTCTCAAATTACGTGGGACTGCGACAACACTGGACCCAAGCAAACATTGTCATGTCCCCATCTGTGAATTTTTTAAGACAAAATTGGACCAGCGCAACCTAAAATACCACCACGTCACCTGAAACTGCCATGAGCCTCTGACACGAAACATGTAGTGCTATTGCTACTAGCTTTTTTGTAGTACTATGGCTTCCTCTCGTCACCGTAGGTTAATATCTTCGCGCTGTCTCCTTGTCTCTATGTGAACTGCAAAGATCGCATCGGCAATCGTTTCTACTGCACCTGTGGTCGTAGGCTACGCGGCATTCTAACGTTCTTCCTCATATCCATCCGCAACCAACTCCTAGCGACCCTGGCAAGTTCCCCTGTTCTCGTCACCTTATCGGCAGACCCAGCAAACAGCAAGGGCGTATCATGGTCGTATATCCAGCTCTTCGGGATTTTCTCTTGACTCTCCTCATAGTCTCCACAGAGTTTGACCCTTCCGATAAAGGTATTAAACGCGATGGGTTTCCCCGGACTGCCGCAAACAATCCCAAACGCACACCGATCTTATCTCGCACACACTTTCCTCTCAGGAGCGACAGTTTTTCTCCTAAAAATCCGACAAAAGTCTTTCGAACTTCTGGAATTTGCGAGCCATACCTTAGGATTTTTTTCACTGTCTGCTCATTTGGCTCAGTTACACCTACTGGCTCGTGTTAACTGACATCAGTACATACGATTATATTACTTGGAACAAGTGAGTAGTCGTGTACGTTTACTTTTCCGAACCAACCGATTTTCACCTGCAATTATTTAATCGACTTCTTTTGAAATGTCATGAAGTACCGATGCATTTCTTCACTACTGCGTACCAATAGGGAGTTCAAAGGCGTTTGCATATAGTTCCCTTAATAAACCTGAACTGACCTTAAATATCTAAAATAACTGTTAACAATGCACGCATACTTAACATTTCCTACGGTCGCAGTAATTTAGAGGAACGTTTCACTAAAGCTTAGCGTTGTTTACTTATATGGATAGCTATAATTTTTGGATCGGACATAATAAACACTCCAAATTGTTTATTATGTTATAAAAAGTAGGGTTTATTACTTAAGGTTTCGTTATATCAGGTCCACTACTCTCCTCTTTATTAAGAGGAGAGGAGGGTTGACCCTCAAAGCCATCTCATCATACCTCTAGCACCCTCCAGTTTTCCTTTGATGGGCTTCGTCTCCTGGCTTGCATCCACAGAATAAGTTCTGTATTATATAGGAAACAGAATAGTCCACAATTCTGACCAACGTAGATGAGTGACATTCGCCTACAAAAGAGAAGGAAATATAGAACAACCAAATACTGGGAAACTATAAGCTATAGGAGTTTATGACGATGATCACGGCGATACTAACACGAAATTTTTACTCCTAAATTTTTAGCTTCCACAAATCACAAGAATTATAATTTCGAAATCTACAGAAATTTCCAATATAGTTTGTTAACATCGGTATTGTCGGTATGGTTCGTGTCTAAATCGCGCACTTTTTGAAGTTACGCGCCGCCTTGGCCCTCGCGTTCTTGTCGCCATGATCGAGATTGAGATCAAAGGCCACTACGGCCAATTCATAAAGGTAGCCCGTTTGCGAACATATAACCAACGTAAAAAATTTTTTTAAGGGATGTTTGCGCAGAATTGTGGAAGATAAAGGCGTCATCGTATATGCGGATGAGTCAGTCGTTTGTTTGTATTGACCCCTGTCTTTTAGCCCCAACACCGAGGAAACTATTCCCTTGAGTGAACTAAGATTGCCTCCAAAGGATTCACCCGATTCCCTGTGAGTAACATCAATTTATACCTGCCTGAGTTGGCCTCTTCGTCTCAGTCCTCCACACATTCACGTTTGCTATTATATTTCGTCGTTTGCCACAGACCATCTTGCTAGATGCCTAGATCAGCAGGTTATGAGTATTAATCGAGTTAGCGCTTATTTCTAGCTGCTATCCTAACTAGTGCGTACAGCGCACACCGTAAGTCCGTTGTTCACCGTGCTTGCTGGGGCGGCGATTCAGCACTTACGTCTGTCTTAACGACGCTTATCGTTAGCTTCCGTTGCTATGGCTTACTAGCGGCTGACAGACTCGTTGATATTAGGGCGCTCATCGATCTAGTTACGCAAAATGGTCGTCCCGTGGTGCCTTGGAGCTCCATCGAGAGCTCTCACAGGTGGTCGGATAGCGACTTGTACTATCATCATATTTCAGACCACAACCACCAAAAAAAACGAGCCCTTGGTGATATGGTAGAGTGTTGCTCTCAATAACCGAAGGTTTCGGTTTCGAATCTCGGGTGATTTGGTTGACTGACTGATTACGGTTGGTCCGATTTTGCTATACCCTTCAAGTCGATATGCGACTGCTTGTGAGGGCTCTAAAATGAGCTCCAGGGTAAAAACGACGGACGCTCTTTTGGTTACAAGCATGCGTCTTTTTCTAATACTGTTTGTAGGAGCTTTTTCCCAACTTTCATCCCTGGCATGTAGGTTGTGGTATTTTGAATGCCCATACGAGTGCTCTAGTCCGAACGCCTGTCTTCGATTTTCCAAGGTGTTGTCTGTCGGTTGGTGTTGAGGCAAACGTTACTGTGTTACCATTTATTACTTATCTTCCATGTCAGCGCCGTTTTTAGATTGCAAATTGTATAAATGTTGAAGCAACGCCCAGTAAATATAGTTTGAGACAACTAATATCTTTATACAATATTGTACAGCACTCTCGCACCCAACCAGCATGTCGAGGCTCTGTTACCGCTGAATCTGAAGGAAGATCAACGTGAAAATGGTTTCGCCGATGCGCTTGCGGGCCTAAAGCTCCAACCTACTACGGCGACTTCCCGCCTGGCCAATCCTCTTGCTTGTCTTACATGTCCTTCGTGGTGGCCATGTGTTGTGACTAAGTTTCGCGATGACCACGCCGTAGTCCAACTGCAGCCAGTTCTTCCTGAACCCAGCAATGGCGCTCCAAAGGAGTACACCGAGTTGGCGGCTTCTTTGAGCAACATGACTGAAATTTGCCAGCGTAAAATTCTCCGCCCTGTCAGCGGGGACGTGCCTTGCCTACGAAAGGAAGACTTCTTCACCCACAAGTTGGACATTCCGCCTGAACTGTTGCCATAGTAAGCCCTTATCCGAAAAATACTATGCTTTCCCGAAAACTTTATGTCGGAGTAAAGTACGAGTTGTCGATAGAATCCATTTGACGAATTTCTCTGTCGGACTTTAAAAGGTATCCTTTAAATGGCCACAGTCGTACTATTATATAATTTTGTCCTTGCTTCAGTCCCAAACGCGGCAGCAGCGGTGCTACCAGGGACTACATTTCCTGGCTTGTAGGCTATGCTTTCTCAATCGCAACAGTTTCCTCTGACCGTACAATATTCGCTAATACCAACTGCCTAATTGCTATTTCTGAAGTCCCCTGTATAACTGGCTTACTTTTGATCCCATTATCTTCACAATGGTACTGCGAAGTCCACCCTAGATTTCATTAAGAACTAAGTAACTCGGCGAGTGAGGTATATTGATTGAGTTAACTTTCTTGATGGTAGGTGTTTCAGGATGGTAAAGCACCACAGATAGAAGCCATAATCAAAGATCTAAGCTCTTAACAATTTTCCTCTTTTTCAAGCCAGACAGACAACATTAAACAACTATGTTAAGCTCTACAGTCAAGCTCTTCTGCCCATTATTTACTACACTGACCATGTCTGTGGTCGATTTTGGACCACAGCCCACCACGGCGCAGGGGTTGTAGTTGTCCTGTTGTCTTCACCCACCAGCAAGTAATGGTTCGCCATGTAACAGTTGCGAAGGAAAGTTTTAAGTATTGGTTTCCTGTCGCTCAAGTATTCGTAGTTAAGCATTTATAAAGCTGAATTGAAGCTTTATGAATGCCCGGTTGATGCTGAGGTTGATCGAACTGTAGATTATATTTAGGAAAAACGATCAGCACATCGTTGGTGATTTTCGGTGAAAAGACTAAAGTGTTGTCTTATTATTATTTAATCGAAATCCACGAAGCGCGTGTTGTCAGGCATAAATACATGTTTCTGTCGTGATTGCCTTGAAAAAAAACGCTGTCGCCGAGTTTCCCGTCTATTTGCATATGGCCAAGAGAAAATTCTGTACCTCCCACATGTATCGTGGTGTATTCTTGAAAAAAGGGATAAGGAACAGATTTGCTGTTCAAACCAGTTGACACGCAAGATATGTTTCCTATCTTCATCACAAAGCTTTTATGCCGGTCACTATGCCGTCGTACTCGTTTAACCACTCTTCTGTAACCGATGGGTTCGTCCTACATCTAGCGCTTGCACAGAGGTCGCACTTCAAGCTGAAAGAGAACAGAGCCAGGTTGTTTTCATAACTCAGGCGTACATGGTAGTGTCATAGTTTAAAAAGTTTGGTAGTGGCCTGTAGCTTTTTCACATTTTGTGCATTCATTCAAATGTCTGGGGTTAGCATGGCATGGAACCACATAAGTTGTGAAACAACAGTCCTTTTAAATCACTCTGCACCATAGGCACGTATGATTAAGTTTGTGCCTTACTTTTCTTAGGCCCTAAACTACTTAAGTGTTCTATCGCTGTTCTGCTGATAGTTCGTGTCGTGACTCAACGCCTCTCGGCCACATTGACACAAAAGTTCTTCCGCAATTTATACTAATACACTATCAGTGTCGGATTCATGTTTTCTAGTCTAGATTATTAATCTGCTCCAAGACCATTGGGACCGGTTTCGTTTCACTTTGGTAATCGAAGACGATTCCACACTCGCGAAAACCACTTATCTAAGAGGAGACAAGCTACGCAAGTTTTCGGTAGCACAGCGTTAGCCCTCTACTTGAAAAATGTTCTGCGATATTTTATTGTTTACTAGACTTGTCAACTGACGCTCCACCCCGAACAGTATTGATAATTGTATCGAATTTAAAGCATGTTACGAAAGCTTGCAGGCCAGACCCTCCACCCACCAGTTTACAACACAGATGCTACCCCATCCACCTTTCTATTTCAAGCAAAAGTGCGTAATTTCCCTCACCCCTACATTCAAAACAATGAACTGTCAACAATTGTCTCTCCACCCCCACACTCATACGACGCACTCATCCCTTTAGGTCATTTCAAAGGATTACTTTAGGGTTTTTTTAATTTATTGTTCACTTAACTACATTTTTTTATAACAAAATTTTACCTATTCTCAGTTTACTTATTCTCAAGAAACGAAATGTTACAATCGCTTTCTGACCAGTCTTACTGGCTCATGTTATTTAATAACCTTGTTTTTACAGCGCCTCTGATCCTGCCGTCCACGAAATCATGTCCCAGCACTGCAACGGCCCTGTTAGCATTGTCCTGGAGAATAACGAGGTTACCGTCCTCTCCCCATCAGCAGAAGTTATTCGCGTCGCATCCCTCTTAGAGGAGATGCACGTCCGCATGCTGCGTCAGAAATATTCGATTATAAAGTATATTAATCAGACCAAGAGAACTGACGTAAGTTTTTTTGGATGGGCATCCTTTTAAATCGGCATGTCTCCGTAGGCCTATTTTGACGATTTAACCGTCT